TCTCTCTTCTGCTCTGCCTTGCTGAAGATTAGAGAAAATCGTCGCCGAAGGTTCTAGAAGGTTGCCAAATGTGTTGATCAGTTTCAGTTGGAGCTGTACGCTGGTCAGCTGGATACCACATCCTGCAGACTGAGGCAGCTCATTGGTGTTTTGTTCTTTCGTTTTTCTTCCGTTCTGCTTTTGCGGCCGGAAAACGTCGCCTCACAGAAAGCATCGTTGGCAGCATAGCCAAAGCTTCTGGAAGGTTGACTGCGTCGCCGAAGCTTCGGGAAGATTGGTAAATGGCGTCGGCAAGATCTTCAAAGAAGTAAATTTGTCTGCTAATTCGTCTCCGAATATCTTTCAAATCTTTATCACTCTCTGCATAGTGGAATTTGCCAAGCCTAGGGGCTAAGCTAAATGAGAAAGTAACTACTAAGTAAAAACTACGAATTCTCATCCAGGTTCCAGGAGCAAGTCACACACGGCTCCGGCTGTACAACTGAATCACCTAGCCAGCTCGCCTGCACGAGCTAAACTACGCTTGTGGTTTGTTTTGTGTCTCTTCCTGGCCTTTTTTTGTCTTGTCTTCAGCTTAAACACAATCAAACACTCGAATCCGCAGTGCCGGATAAGATTTTACGATCTTACTTCTATAATACACTGATTATTCACAAATACCTTTAATCACCATTGCTTTTTCTAGCCTCACTAAAAATTTTGCTTTATATTGACTGAGAAAAAATTAATAGACATATAAGATTGCCTTGGCGAAGCTTGAGACGGAAAAGATGTATGTGGCATTGAATAAAAGTGTCAGCACCCACGGTCTGTACGTCTCGGACAAATTTACGGCCGGATTCACAGCCAGTGTCCAAATTCTGTGAGCATCGAATATTTCACAAAGTAATGAATGTAGCTCGCTGAAACTTTTTACATGTTTTTATTAGGACCTAACGGTGATGTTCAGCTGGTGACAATTTTTTAAATTTTGCCTTCGTTTATGATTTTTTTTTAATTTTCATGCTTTTTTAATGCTACATGCTTAAATTCGCAGTGAGCATAGAATTTCTCCTAGAATACTGAACAGATCTGAACGAAACTTCGTATGTGAATACCTGACCTCGCATCGGTGATGTTTAGCTTGTGACAATTTTTTCGATTTCACCTTCGTTTGCGAGTTATACGGATATATGGAGTAACGACAGGCATTTCTCAGGCCAATATTTAAACTTGCATTGACCAAGAGCCGTATATGTAAAGCCGTGCAACTCAAAATTTTGTTGGAAGTGGAGATTAATTATTTACGACCTAAAACTTCATTGCTGATGTAAAAAATCTCTCACTCAACGAAATAATTCAGGAAGATATCACTATTGCCCCGAGAAATTAGGAGTCACATCTTTATCTGCGAGAAAGTGAAAATTCTTTTCGAATTTCACGTTGAATTTGTGTTATTGAAGAAAATTTTACAATGCATATGGTAGTTCCTAAAATTCGATTTTGAAAGTTTGAAAGAGATGTTCATTGATTCGCATTGCAAAAGTTTGACAATTACATTTGAAAGGAGAAACGACGATGGTTCGTCGCCAGGGGCCAGATTTTAGGTAATTTCAAATGCGATTCAACCATTACCAAGGCAATACCAAGTTCACGTGTTGCATTATAATGATATTATCTTTGTTTTACAGAAAGATTATTAAATTCTTTCATGAGTTCATTCATATATAGAGTAGGTCCAAAAATTCATTTTCCCTCAATGTTAGAGGTGCCAATATCTGATTGGGTGCTGCAACGCTGGTACTGGCATCTCAATAAAGTATAGGTTCATTTTGATTCGCCGGCTGATCGAGCATCAAATCTGACGTTGTGTGCATGTGAAGACGCATTGAAAACTATACATTTCATGAATTTTATGTACATGAAGAAGTTTTATTTGAAGTGAACAGATTAAAAAATGATATTGTACATATCATGTACAATATCATTTTTTAATAGTCATTATACATGTAACCTGTAAGGTTACATATATGTATAAACGTAACCTTACGGGCAGAAGGAAACCTTCCAGATTACAGCATAAAATATTCTATAGATGTCCGTGTGTTCGTTTAGCTCTGCTCTAGCTTCACCTACTGACAATTGGTTTCTGGTTTCTATACAATTTTCAGTATTCAAAATTTGCATGTGAATTTATTTGTTTTGAAATTAATTGATAAGACTAATCCAATGACAACATGAAAAATCAACATAACCACTGGGCAGGGTGGCCCAGTGGTTAAAGTTCAGAGTACCAAGATTGACGCAGAGAGGCGCGGGTTCGATCCCAGCTCTGTGCGCCAGTTTCCGATCAGAATCGGCAAGGAGGCCGGGCGGTTAAGCACAGCAGAATTGTAGCAGTGAGTTGCAAGTTCGAGACCGCAAAATGCTGTGAATGTTCTGCGATACTAAGAATCGGCGACATGCCTATGCGGCCTAATAAACGCTGAAACCGCTATTAATATTATTAATAAAAATATTAACGGGGAACTTGATCGAGTGAGCAATGATGCTCTTTCGGAATAATGATACTAAACGCAGGATGAAAACGTATATTCTTCAAAACAGAACATTGACTATGTGGCTCAAATTATGAAATAAATGGAGGATATTTTGTGGCGTTGGCCAGAATGATCATAATATACGTCCAGAAGAAATGAGCTGCTCCCAGTAATTTGGTAGCGAGCCGAACCAGCGTACGCTGGACATGAATTTAGGAAAACAGTACAAAGTTCCATCACAGGAGGTAAGCAGAAATAATTAGATCCCATAATTAAGCCCACCATGCAGGCTCAAGCGACACCCTTTGTACAAGATACTTTGTCAAGAAACAGCGCAAAACAAATGAATGGGTGCTAGTGTAACTCTCAACAAATAGTGAGACTAAATTTCAAAGCATACTACGTGAAATCCAGAGTTTGTGAAAAAAAACTCTGTTTCGGAAACGTTTATTACGCTGAGTTTTCTTCACTCCATTGAAATAAAATTTGAAGTGAGAAATAATCGAAGAACGGTTTCCCAATTTTTCAGTGATCGTGATCGGCACCAATTGGAAGTTCCGTGCACAAATCGCGCACCAACAGCTACTCCCACGCACCGCTAACACTACACTCGTATTGACAGATAATTTCTCACATTGATAACCTTTCATTTTAATTAGTTCTGTAATAACTAATTATTATACACAGTGATTATTAAAAGTGGATCATCGCAAACGCCCAAGAGAGTAGGATTTGTTGCCTTGTTGATTCCAAGCGTTTCGATATATACTAGAAATATTAGAGCTAATATTCATTGAAAGAGTAAATGGGTTCTTATTTCCATCGTGGGTTTGAATATTTATCGCCGTATTTTGCCTTGAATGCACCAGCTGTTGACCCAGCCGCCGACGCACCAGCTGCTTGTCCAGCACCAGCAGGTGGAGCAGCAGCACCAGTACCATGGTGCTGCTGGTGCTCCTGTTGAAGCTGGTGAAGCTCTTCGTCAACAAGAAGCTCATAGTCGCCATAGCGGTCTGGAGTTGGCACCTTGTTCCAGTGAACGCTGTAATGCCAAAAAAATGTACAGAAACTTGTTCTCAAATGCCGTAATGAATGTTCAATTGTTTTGGAAGTGTATTAATAATCAATGAATAATACAATATGGCAAGCTAAAACGATTTATTCCATGTGATAGACTTTGTTTCCTGGGATCTCTTGTCCTGTGAGATACTTTATTAGTAAAATTATTTTTTGGAATTCAAAGGTCTAGCAATTTCACACAATTCTTTTAGAAATCGATAATTTTTCAGCGAAAATTTTCATATCAATGCACGTTCCTTATTTTAGCAAAACAAAATGCCATCAACCCACAGACGAATTTTTATATATGAATAGATTTAGGTTTCAGATCTTTTCAAAAATGATCTTTCATGGCATTAGTAGAATTCACCATATCCGATTTCACGATGTCCGAATAATTTTTATGGATTTGCGTACGAACGCTAAACATCGTGATCTCAAATGTGTCATGTCAATCAGATTTGTCAAAAGTAACTGACTTGACGTTTCATAAAATAGCAATCTATTGATATTCCTAAGCTATTTGGTGACCTCCGGTACCAGGTTGTAGGAACATTGGAGTAGAAATATTTCTACATCAGAATCGTCTTCAATCCCCGGAGGCGAGTTGACAACGTCTGATTGACGGGCTTCGGCACCCAACTTCCCATTAATATCGAATTGCATTAAAATATCAATTAACATATCGTGAAATCGTGAAATAACAAGTCTCACTTGGGAACGCCATCTGGCGGGAGCACCACGTTGAGGGTGTCGTCTATGAGCTTGTGCTTGAGGATCCTGTCGTTCGCTGTGGTCGATGTGAGGGACGGCGAGGCGTTCACCTGAAACTCAGAATGGCTACTTTAGAGTTTACTGACTGGCTTATATGGGCAGGGTTGCCCAGTTGTTGTTGTTTAGAGAGCCAAATATGATAAAACTAATTATTTGATAATAAGCAGTATCATAACATAAAACTAATGTTATGATACTGCTTCAATAAGCAGTATCATTTCATATCATATATCATAGTAATATCGGCGCTGAAGAAGAGGTCAGATGTGGCCTGTCGCCGATTTTTGTACTTTTCGTGACTTGTCCACAGGATATCTAAAAACAAGTCCTTTGACCGGATCTTTTGAAAACTGTCGATAGTTTGAAAAAGCTACTAGACTTCCACCGGGTTCGATATGGTGCTAGGCATTTCAAGTCTGAACATATACATCTCCATAGATTCGTCTAGTCTGTTCCTGAACGCGTTCATACTTGGAGCGCCAACGATGCTATCAGGGAGGCTGTTCCACATGTCGGTGACTCGAAGCGAAAAGAAACGTTGTAGCGTAGATAAGTTGCAACGCAGTTCTTTTAGTTTGAGCCGTGGCCCCTGGTGTTGGTTCTTGTTTCAAATTCTAGTATCCCTAGCTTCAGGGACCTTGTATAAACCATGAGTATACATGTATTATGTATACTTCAATGAGGTCCCCACGCAGACGTCGATAACTGAAGCTTGGAAACTTCATAATCTTTAATCTTTCTTCATAGGACTTGCCCTTCAAGCCAGGAATTATCCTTGTTGTCCGTCTTTGAACACTCTATACAAAATTTTTGTCCTTTCAAAGTTTTGTCTTCTTCAGTAAGTTGTGGGTTCGATCACATCTACCTGCGCCAGTTCTGGTCTGATAACTGAAGCTTGGAAACTTCATAATCTTTAATCTTTCTTCATAGGACTTGCCATTCAAGCCAGGAATTATCCTTGTTGTCCGTCTTTGAACACTCTCTACAAAATTTTTGTCCTTTCAAAGTTTTGTCTTCTTCAGTAAGTTGTGGGTTCGATCACATCTACCTGCGCCAGTTCTGGTCAAATTGGCGAGGTGGCCGGGTGGTTCAGCACAGTAAAACTGGAGCAGTGAGTTGCGTGTTTGATACCGCAACAAGCTATGATTGTTCTGCGATGTTAAGAATCGGCGACAGGCCTACGGCCTATAGTTAACGCTGACACTGCTTACGGCAGTAAATAATATTCTTGTATATATGACATTTTTACACTGTAAAATCAGTTCTGCTTTTTTGAGATTTATTCGTTTCGTGGGTACTGACTGTTTTATTTTTTTTGTAGCAACATATTACAGAAGCTCTATCCTTTGTCATTTAAACGCTTAACAAGCGGTGCCAAATGACTTAGATTAGACTACGAAAATATGACTTAGATGCATCATTATCAGTTTGAGAAACCATACCTGTAAAATTTGCATTGATTAATTACATTAATTAATTCAGTTGCATACATGCAGGTACGGATTCCATCATATATCCAATTAATTTGTATATATAGTTTTTTAATTCCTAATCCTATAACTAAGTATATAGTAAAACTATTAGTCATGATAATTAGCAGAAGTTGACCATCACTATTTATATCCATTTCGAGATAATTAAAAAACGCTTTAGAATTCTCCATTACGATATCATACCAAATTTCGGGAATAGAATGCAAAGGAATTACCTCGATTAGCCATGGCTTGAGCTGATCATCAATGATGATGTCATAACCATAGCACTCGAAGCAGTGCCGGTCTGAGGCCATGATGGGTGCGACCGCTATAAGTGAGTGCACCAGCAGCCACTCCATGTCCCAGAAGAGTTTGTCTGTCTTGGTCTTGCCGCGCGTGCTCTCCAGGTACAGCCGAAGTGTGCGCACTGGCCATTTGCCTCCGTGGATGCTGTTGTATTCCTCCTTCGCATTGACAAGAAAACTTTACATGTTAATACTTTGGAAAACAGGGATTTTTAAACAGTATATTACCCTTACTTCTACCTTTTCACTCCTATAACCAGAAACTACAGTTTAATTGAATTGATCAGCAAAACGCTTCTGCTGGAAACAGGCTTGATTCGTTCCACGTATGACAGTGCAGTGACTACTGACCGCCACGTTGCTGAGTACAAACCTGAGCAGTGGCGTGCAAATTACGTAAAAAATACGTGTAAGGCACGCAATTTCAGGCAACTCTGCTCTAAATCATACATTAGCATGGCAACGAATACAAAATGGATGGTGGAATTGGGCAGTGCTGACCACTAATATGTAATGATGTATCCTTTTTAATCGAGGGCAAAAGGTACCGATTGACTCCATTGATATCAATAACATTCTAGCTGGTTGTTGATATTGCGCTCTATGTTATGCAAACGCAGTTTAAATTTAGTCCCTACCTTGCGGTTGTCTTTGTGATAGTAAGATCCGTACAACTGTCAAGGGTATTTTTGCTGCTGCAGTATACGAAGTTCCAGCTCCCTCAAGTTCCCTCAAGTATACGAAGTTCCAGCTCCCTCAAGTTGTTTCTCGTGCTATCAAGTGAAACATCGTGACAGCTTAAAACTGGAAAGCCTTATCCGTCCTTTATTATCCGAGGATGGAAATGTTAGCTTTAATTCGAACTGCCTGTTTCACACTAAGGGTGCCTAGCGTGCCCCCCTACTCACGCCATGCTTCTGAATGGAGACGTTGGTCAGGTGCACGAACATGTTGTCGAGATCCTGGCCCGAGGCGTCGTAACGAACTGTGCAGAACCTACAGAAGCCCAACTTGTGCATGTAGGCCTTCAGAGGCCGGTATGACGTCACCAGCACATACCTGAGAATATCATAACAATCATTATTTTGCAATTCATATGACACTGGTATACGATTTTCAAACTTTATATACTTCAGAGGCCGGTAAGACGTCACCAGCACATACCTGAGAATTTCGGAAAACTATTGTTCTGCCATTCAAATGACACTCTTATAGTACGATTTTCAAACTTTATGTAAGCCCTCAAATAAAAAATTATTTCGGATGACTGAAATTAATTTGCTTTTAAAAAGGAATATTCTGCAGACCAGGTGCAGTTTGATTGCTACTTTTCCATCGTTGAAAAATTTATTCCTGAGTGAATGTTTCATATCGTAATAATTTTGTAGAGTTGGTCAACCGTTCCAAGCCTGCCAGAATGAGTACCACGTCACTGTGTAAGAAATTGGGACGTGGATGGCTTCATTTGACTATTTTTATAGACAATGTATAATAATCATGTTTTTTTGTCGCAACCATTCACTTTCAATAAATATTAAAGTTGATTAATCTAGAGATATATTATTCTGGTAATGATAATGTTCGTATATGACTCAAATTGATACTTATGTTCGTATATGACTTAAATTGATACTTATGTAAACTAGCGTCATTCAATAATTACATGAAATATACAGTAGACCTGACAGCTGAGATACGAGTCCATGTAGTCACTTCACACTCACAGTCGGAGGTCGAACTTCTTCCCTCCAATGAGCAGGGGATTGTCGATGTAGCGGGCGATGACGTATGTGTCTTTGACCAATGACGGGTTGAACGAGCCTTTGTTGTCTCGGGACCACTTCTTGATTTGCGCAAGTTTGTTCACTAGAAATATACCTGGAAGTTTCCAGGTTATTTATGAATCTCTTTTAACGAAGAGTTCTCTATAGGTATTTTTTCATCGTCGGCCAGACGTTTCAGCAACACAAATTAGAAAAAATGATATAAATACTAAATGACGGTCGCGTAGGCAAATGTTTCAATATACATCACCAATTCCTTGAGAACGTCCGGCAGGTTTCAATATCCAGGTGGTGTTGGGGCACCGCCGGAACTCCTCCACGAAGAGGTTGTAGTCCGCGGGCAGCATGAAGCTCGTCGGCAGGAAGTCCAGGTGCACGTAGCGGCCTTAGCANAGTGAATTCTGTGTTATGCTGCTATTTGTTTGTGGGTTGTATTACGGTACACAACAGTCAAAAAAGGCAAGTGGCGCCTGCCTGACTTGCGTCTGTCATAGCTGGATACTAAAATTTATTACAAAATTATGGATAGAGCATAATTAATCGATATTTATTCTGAAATCTGGAGAGTAGCGAAATTGTAAAAAAATAAAAGCATGATATAATATAATAAAAGTTGCTCAGTTAATAACATCTGACTAAATAAAACATTTATCACTCATCACCTAAGTATTTTGAATATGAGTATTCATTTCCGTTACAACTTTAACCAAAAAATAGTAAAACTATTCTACTTTGTAGTCATGGGTCGCTTTTTGCAGCATGATATTATATTATAAGGGTGCCGCAATCACTTGACACCAATGATAAGTAAAGGTACACGTCATCCAATTTATTGAATCGAGCACAGTCACTCGATTGTTGTAGGGGAAATATTTATCACTGAAAACGGAATCCTGAAAACATTCTATTTCTATATGTGAAGTTGGAAGAATCTAATAAGGAATTTCTCGTGAATTTACAACGGGGAAAATTCATCAGATAGCCGGAACTAGCCTTTTAATAAACTTTTAAATTTCTAATTCCTAAAATATTCTTCAAAATTCATTGAAATTAGTTTTTATAACTTTATTTCTTGAGATTTATGTTTCAAAATATAATACTATCATCTCAATTTAATATTAAAATTTCCTGAACTGTACGTACCAGTGCCATCCCTCTCTGCCAGGATGGATCCGTCCCTCTCGAGCTCCCTGCGGTAGCGCTTGATGTTCTTAACGAGGAGATCCTTGCGAGTGAGCTCGTAGTGGCTAGGGAAGTGGCTGATGAGCCTGGCGGGCAGGAGGTGTAAAGCTAGGGAAGTGGCTGATGAGCCTGGCGGGCAGGAGGTGTAAAGCTAGGGAAGTGGCTGATGAGCCGGACACGAGAGACCAAAGGGATGAGGCTGCTCTTTAAAATGCCTTACCTACCACTGAAATTTTTCAAATAGTTCAAATTATGTGGAACTTTGCGTAAAACTACACAGTTATTGTTATAAAATTTTTCATTCAGCGTCATATTGTTACGTAAGTGCAAAATTTTTGCTTAGATATCAATGTACTATATGTAGGCGCTTACGAGTATGATTCGGATCTCAGTTTCTGTGCAGGAAACACAAACAAACGTTCAAGTGCAAATGATTCAATGACTTGCAAACAATTCAGTCTTTGCAACTAAAGATTTCAAAATGCAAGGACTGAATTTCCTCTCAGCCGTACATTAGATGCCAGGATAACCGTTACGGAAAAAGCTGACATTAGAAAATGTATTAAAAATAAATGTTACATTTCAGCTTACGAACGAAAGCAATAAGCCAAATAGATGTACTCACTGATTATCGTTCATGCGGTAGCCACTGTCTACACTGAACAGCGTTCTGCACGTCTGAGCTCCCGCCCTGTGGAGGTAATTAATAATGATTTGCATAAGTAATTTGCTTCTCATAAGATTTATAGTTCCGAAGGAGCATTATATTTTAGCTATATGAAGGTACTGGAATCTAATATGAATAATCTTCCCATTGAGAGCGAGCTATGAATGTGGCGGTGGCTGCATTAAATTAGCATTAACTATTGAACATCTCAGGTCGACTCAGTCCCAGCCTTGGCATGCTGACTCTGACTTTCAAATGAGACAGCTTGATGGTATGGTTGGAGTAAAAAGTGGCAGAGTCAGCTTATCATAAATAAGTGCGTTTCGGAAATTTTTTGACCGGTATTACATAGTAAAAATGCAACGATTTTGGTGGATTCCAGGCTCAAAGTTTTTCTATGATGGCGCTGGCTTAAATACGTTGCCATGCACAACGGCTGCGCTCTGGGTGATGATGGCAAAGAAAACATATATTGTCAACTCACTGAGGTCTCTGAGATTGGCCAAGCTCTCATGTAATTACCACCTTGAAAACAATTACTAATACAAAATTCATAGACACTTGAGTAAGATAATGGACATAAGAAGTACTCACTGATTATCGTTCATGCGGTAGCCACTGTCTACACTGAACAGAGTTCTGCACGTCTGTGCTCCCGCCCTGTAGAGATAATTAATGAAGTTATGCATAAGTAATTGGCTTCTTATGAGGTTTATAGTTATTAAGAAGCGTCATATTTCAGCTGACCTGATATCACGATTCAATAAAGTTTCGGAAGCAAGCTAATACGAGTAATATTTTCGATGAGAGCGAGCTATGAATATGGCGGTGGGTGCATTAGATTAGCATTATATAATCATTGAACATCTCAAGTTGACTCAGTCCCATGCAGCCTTGGCATGCTGACTTTCACAGGAGACAGCTTGATGGTTTGGTTGGAGCAAAAAAGGGTAAAGTCAACTTAGCATAACTGAGAGCGTTTCGGAAAATGTTGTGAAAAAGTTTTACGCATCTAAAATGCATCGATCGAATACGACTCAAAGTTATTCTATGATGGCACAGGCTCATAAACGTTGCTCCGCTCGCCCTCTACGGCCGCGCTCTGAGTGACGAAGGAAAAGAAAATATGTATTTTCAACTCGCTGAAGTCCTGAGATTGGCCAAGCTCTCATGTAATTACCACCTTGAAAACAATTACTAATACAAAATTCATAGACACTTGAGTAAGATAATGGACATAAGAAGAATACTAAGCTTACGCAATACTTATTTATCGAAGTCTATTTTACAAAAAAAAATTAAAGATTGCGCATAGAGAAATCATGAACAAAATAAGATTGAAGAGGCTAGATTTGTTAATGTAGGATGTTAGATTCTGCACCAATTAAGATAATACTTATTTAAAACCGCCGATTTACCTCATTTGGTGTAACTGAGAATACGCATTTAAAACAGAATGACAATTTTCTAGAAAGAATATCAATGCAAAGCGAAACCAAAATTTGATATTTTCACTTTGAACGATTTCACTTTATTTTAGGAAAATTTAGCCAACTACCCTAACTCTCGTCAATATCAATTTTAGAATAATACCATCTAATTCAACTCTCGTAACAATTGCTCAACGAACCAGTAAAAATTCCAGTCTTCATCTGGTCCAACTTGAAGCCATCCTCTTCTCTCGAAATTATTCGTGAGCACCGACTTCTCGACGTCCGTGCAGTAGGTGATACGAACGCTCATCTTTTATAATTCGTTATGGCAGCTTAGCCACGAGCATCAATTCGATCCGTTACCAGATGTGACTTCGTGATTTTAAATAATTATCTGTGTTCTTAGTTATTTACTGACCTAAATGCAATATGAGAACTAATTTCAGGCCAATCACTTTTTTGGGTACTTATAAATGTATGAAATCCTTATTTCATTCGCGACAAAACTAGCAAATGACCTCCAGTGAAGCAGAGCGGTGCGCTGGAGACTCAAATGTGGACCACAACTGTTTCCATGGCAACAATTTCCTCAGGTTCTCGACGGTGAACGAGTTTCATTGATCGAATGCACGTTCAAGAACTCCTTTTAAACAAGGGAAGTGTCTCGGCTAATATTAGCCATATCTACTAGCGGCTCAAACTTTCCCCGAGTAAATAATGTTCCTTCATAATTTGGCAATATTTTACGTTTTTGCCCGATTTTGCTCCCAAAAATTGTCATGTTGCTATGAAAATTATTTGGGATGTGCTCATTGATGCCAGTGCCTAGCCAATTTACAAGAATTTCTCCCTGTTAAGTGAAGAACTGTGGATCAAGCTAACAAAAGTTCTGAAGTCTCGATTGATTTAACACAGAATAATAATAGGCCTTTGGAATTAAACATTCTTACAGACTATGCAGAAGCACCGAGCGTCATAAAACATGCCGTAGGAGGTTGCTTACAGGCAAATAGTCCACTAGGAACCGCATGAGACTCAGTTGTAACTAACAGATTGCGGGTTTGCACATGGGCTTTCTTCTGACTTCTGAATGACCTGGGATGGCCAACGATGCGAGACAGGCTGAGGCATGCTAGGCTTGCCATGCTGTACAAAGTTCTTAACACCCCCAGCCAGTTTATCAACTGCCACCTAAACACCGTCAGCTGATTCGTTCAGAATACTTAGAAGTTCAGCTGCTCCATTCACCCCCAACATCATATTATCGCTACGTAGTAGCAAAATTAACTATCGGCAGATGACATTATTCCCTACAACTACATCCGAATGGAACCACCTCTGCGAAAGAAGTCTCGGCACCGTCGTCGGATGCTTTCTGGGATAGGGTTGCCATCCTCGAAATGTTATGTAAATATAATAAATACACATCAAACAAAATAAAAGCTGTAACTATAGTAACAAACTTAATCGGAAACATAATACTGCATGACACATTTCTTGGCCAGCTGCCACGAATGACCTGCGTTGAGTCATTTACGGACTCTTTAAGAAAACATTATCATCGTCTAATACTAAGGGTCTTCTGATCATATTGTTTCTAGTAAAGTTTTCTTAAAAAAAGTTATATATACAACAACATAGGTAAAAAAATTCACTATGGCTATGTTACTATCCTGTTATGTTAATTAAAAGGGCAGCTAAATTGCTATTATTAGTAAAATGCACATTACGTGACATCGAAAACTTAAAAAAATTAATGTTGTGCTAATCCTTTCCATAACCCCCTAACAGTTACATTAACATTCAGCTTTCTTGTAAACTGAAGCGTTGCCATGGAAACTGATGTAAACAAATACCAACATCTAGGAAAGTCGTGGCCCGCGACTGGGCACTTGGGGTCACCAAATGGACTGTCGTGGAGCCTGGAGGCTTTGAGCGGACGTGTGGGATGGAGCACGTTTTGAGAGAGAGAAGAATGAAAGCAACATTGAGATATAAAGTGCGACTGGGAATAATGGATCATGAACGTTAAACGCTAGAGATATACCTGTGAAACTTGAGACTGAGTAGTCTGAGTACACTCAGTACAGGGGAACGAAAGTGTCATACAATAATACAAAAATGTGAATTACAATACATGAAACGTAGACTTACCTTGGGCCTGGGCAGTATAGACTGAGAGAGAAACAGACCAAAAGAGGACATTACAGGGTGTAAAAGGGATCGTAATCATCGAATGGAATGTCAATTGTCAAAGAATGGAAAAAAAGAAAAGAGAGTGAAATTGTGTGGTTTAAGAGTGTAGAAGCAAGGAATGGAAAGAAAGGTAAGCCTGAGACTGCACTAGATGAAAGAGATGCCAAAGTATGAGACTATGAGTGCAGTATATATAATGGCACAATTGGCACTGGCAGTAGAGATAGGGAAAGGACCTAATATTCTGTATGAGAGCAAATGCTTTAAGTGTGAGTCAGTGAGTGGCTGAGTGCAGTGACATACAGGGGGTGAAATGAAAGAATGGAGAATATTTATTTTATGTGTGACAGAGGTGATAGACTGAGAGGGAAACTATGGAATGTAGATTGTAGAGTACCTGATAGCTAATACTCAAGTGTGAATCATATGAGTGGGAGAGACTTGAAATGATGAGAGTGATTCTGGATGAGAGGGGTGAGTGGTGACTGCAAATCTGCAATGGTGTGATGTATGAAAGAATGGGAGACAAATGGATTGCAATGATAGTGGGTCTGCCAGCAGAGGTAAAAAGGTAACTAGAAGGAAGGTTCTAGTTGGGCTTGCAAAGTAGATATATTATATGCCTGGTTCTTGGTAGAGCTATACAGCTGTCTATATCTATTCATGGGGCAAATCAAGTAGCTCTAGGATAAGTAACTTTGAAAGTTTTTACAGTATTAGTGACTCAAGACATGAGTTGACTGACTTAGACTCTCATTAGGTTCAAAGATGTATGCCTGGCAACCAGCTTCCATCTGCTTACAGACCTTGTAATACAAAATCCATTGCTAGTGTCTAGTGACTCCTTTAAGTCTGCCCAGGAGTTAGAAGGAACTAGAAGCTGAGAGCCCCCTACTAATTGACAGATACCTAGTGGTAGATACCTGTCAAGCTAAAAATTTGTTCTTTCTAAGGATTTGACTTGAGCCAAAAATTTGCAATTGTGTTGCATAGATCAGTTTTTCATGCCCTAAGTGTTTCCAGTATTATTGAGCATCTATTGTCAGAACTTTCTATAGCCCTGTACATTCAATATTTTTAGCCAAAAATACATGTAAGGGGGTATTTAAAGAGAAATTTGCTAGCAAGATCTTTTGATGATATTGGATTTTGCTGATAAGTTTTTGCCAAAGATGCAAAAATTTTATTAACTTCCTGCCTTCTTCAGAGCTTTTTCATTCTCACCTCCCCATATCTTTGGCTTTTAATTAATGTCAGAAGTCATGTCTGAAGTACAATGTTTTTCTTTGATGTATCTTGACTGTGCAAGCAAGCTGCAACTCTCTACTGATGATTTTACTATTTGAATTCATTTAAGAGCTCAACAAAGTTTCCTTATGTTTACAGTGAATTGCTGCTTCTTCTCAGATGTGAATTGTTATTTATTACAATTTTAAAAATCTTCAAGCAATCTCTCATTCCCTAAATTTTTTTACTTGCTATCCTTGCTTGTTCTTCGAGATATCTCTAGAAATATAGCTACCGGTATATGAACTTTGTATGTTCAGTGTTTCAGTCTTATTTATAGATTTTATTAAAGTTTTGACCATAAATGGTGATTATTTTCAGCATTATACAAGTGTAATTATTTATCTTTGCTAAGTTTTGTCAATCATGATGAATTATTGAACTTGGTATTTTGCAGATTTTTTCTTTCTCATATTAAAACCATAAGGCTTCATGCATAATGACATTATATTTTGACAGTATTATTCAGAATCCTACAAGCCATGCTATTAACACACATATGGCCTGGCACAGTGAGGCATCATGCCTTGCTGTTGCATCATACAGTGAAGAAAAAGGTGGTACTGTAAATGTTTATACTGGTGAGGTGAGTAAAACTATGATATCATAAGAGATTATTATGGAAAGAGGTACCTTATAGGTCCTGAGAATCCAGCTTGAACTGCTACATTTTTCAATTTGATAGATGACATATGGGTTTTGTAGCACTTGCAACAAGGATATGCTTGTCTAAAATCATCCTCATCTTCTTCATAATTTGCTCTGTAATAAAATTTTAAATACCAGCTTTTCAGGCATTTTAATTGATACCTATATATGTTTATTTTCCATCTTTAGTAACTTATTAGTTTACTGCTTGTTTGAGATCACATTGTTCAGTCACACAAGTGGTCTCTTTCAATTTTTTAGATCAATTTGTTGCAGCATATGAATTCCAGTCATTTTTAAATCATTATACATATACCTACCATATGGTATATTAATATAATGTAAATCAAAATTAGACTTACAATTAGACTTTTGTCTTTATTACCTCTGTGTCTATTTATTGAATTAGTGCTGCAATTTTCTATATTTTCTCTGTATACTTATTGAATTTTTGAAACACAGGGCAAGTTGTGTTCTGAAGTGGACATTCCCCCTCACCCAACTGCTCAAGTAACATCACTTGCATGGCATCCCATCCAGCGGCTGCTGGCAGTGGGGTGGGAGACGGGAGAATTGTATCTATGGAATGACCATGAAGAAGAACTTCACCAAATCCAGTCCCTGCATCGAGCAGCCATAACTATACTTGAGTTTAGTCATGCTGGGTCACGTCTTGTAACAGCTGACCAGGTCAGTTTATGGATAATTTTATAATTGTTGAATAAATTTGCTCAAAAATTTGTTTCTGGGTTAAATTAGTGAAAAAAGTAATAAGTTTATCCAAATTTGATAGGTGGGATTGTAACTTGTTTAAAATTTCAATGTGAATTGCAGTTGATTTTTCAAAAATTTTATATGTTCAAAAATGTAAAATACCTAAATTATCTACATCAAAATAGGTTATACCAGTACCTATATCAGCTTGGATGAATAAACCTAAATTGGATTGTTTTCACTGCACTAAGTTCTACTTAATAAATTTTGTGGTACAATATTCTCCGGCTATACAATTTTTCTATCAAAGTCATGGACATGCCTCTGACAGCCACTCATGCGAAACATACCGTAGTTAAATGTGGCACTAATGTAAGAACGCATTGAAAACTGAGCATCAAAAATGTGTAAGATTCATCTGATTTAGTACAATTTTTAGATTAAAAAGAGCACAGAAAATTAAATGAAATTAAACCTCATTTCAGAGTAGTCAAATGCAAGGTAATAAGCTAAGTTTCACTGTTCAATTCCACATTTAAATTATTCAGGATCCTATTTCAATGTAACTCTTTGGTGATTTATGAGGTTCAAACAAATTTAAAAAAATAAGCAACACCAGTTGCAGAATCAAGATTTTTAGTGTCTGCTGCTTTTTTATGAGTTTTAAAATTATGTTTATATTTTTTTTCTGTTTATTAGATTCCTAATTTAGGTATATATTTGGACTTATTTTATTTGGCATTTGCTTATTTGTACCTGACAGTCTGGCTCAGTGGTTGGCTGGCGCAGCAGCAGCTCGGGTAACCTACAGACAGCCTTCACACACGAGCTCAAAGATTCCCTGTCTCAGGTTGTCTTCAGAGCCTCACCTCAGGACCGAACCAACGCTGCTATTGATATCAAGTCAGTCATACGAACCCAGTGACATGTACATTGTAATTCATATGGTTATTTATACGTTAATATCAATGCATATATTGAAAAAATTAAGACATATGACAATTCACTAGCATAATAGTGGATAATCTCAACTTCACGAGGCTCACTTTTCCTAAGAAATATGAAAAATGAAATATCCATGTAGACACGGTTACAGTTTATAATATAAACTGTGTATAAATATCCATGTAGACAAATATCCATGGCGGTTACAGTTTATTCTCAAGATTGACTAGAAAAGTTCTTTATTCATTCACAGATTATCTTCTGCCTCAAAATTTTTTGAACTCATTAATTTTTTACTTCTTGCGAGAAAAAAAAAACAATACGTACTGATGTGTCTGAAGTTGCTTTATATTACAGTCATATATTCCTAATTAGATGTGTTGAATTTATTCACGAATCTTTGGTTCTACATGTAAAGTTCTATCGTAAGTGGGTTGTCACCCGCAACAGTGAATGGCGACGATAAAACGCTCGTTATGAAATAAAAAAAATAATAAATAAATAAAATACTGATGTGTCTAAATTCGATTTAGTTCGTTATTTATATTCTTATTAAATGTATTGAATTTATTCACGGAAGTTTGTTTACCTCTAAAGTTTTATCATCAGTGGGCTGGCGCGCGCGGCAGTGAGCGGGGACGATAAAACGCTTGTTATGAAATAAAAAAGAAAAATTAAACACTGGCGTGTCTAAATTCGATTTGGTTCGTTATAAATATTCTTATTAAATGTATTGAATTTATTCACGGAAGTTTGGTTTTACCTCTAAAGTTTTATCGTCAGTGGGCTGGCGCGCGCGGCAGTGAGCGGGGACGATAAAACGCTTGTTATGAAATAAAAAAGAAAAATTAAACACTGGTGTGTCTAAATTCGATATAGGTAGTTCGTTATAAATATTCTTAATAAAAGTATTGAATTTATTCACGGAAGTTTGGTTTAACCTTTAAAGTTTTATCATCAGTGGGCTGGCGCGCGCGGCAGTGAGCGGGGACGAGAAGGCGCTGGACATGTTCAGCTCGTGGCGTCCCCGCACGGGGCACAAGCGCGCCGCCCTCACCACCGCCCCGCCCCGCGAGAACGTCTCCTTCTACCTCGGCTCTGCGTCGGGTAACTGCTTACTGTGTTGGGTAACTGGTTACTGTGTTGAGTTACTGGTTACTGTGTGCAGTTACTGGTTACTGTGTTGAGTTACTGGTTACTGTGTTGAGTTACTGGTTACTGTGTTGAGTTACTGGTTACTGTATTGGGTAACTGGTTACTGTGTTGGGTAACTGGTTACTGTGTTGAGTTACTGGTTACTGTGTTTGGTAACTGGTTACTGTGTTGAGTTACTGGTTACTGTGTTGAGGTACTGGTTACTGTGCTGAGGTACTGGTTACTGTGCTGAGTTACTGGTTACTGTGCTGAGTTACTGGTTACTGTGTTGGGTAACTGGTTACGTTGGGTAATTGCTTACTAAGGCCAGTTTTGACACATTAAGGCCAGTTTTGACACTCCAACGCCACTTTTGACACAGCAACAGTTTGACATATCTTCGTGTGCGTGTTAGAGTCGCGCCCCTAGAGATCTGTCCCCGGGTCTAAGGCTAAACCTTAGAGGTCGGCTGCCGGCCGTTCTAATGCAGCGCTGTGGCGCCTCAATTGATTGGCTCCTTATTAAAGCTTATGTTGGTTGATCACCAGGGTTTGTTGGCACTTATTAATTTTGAAGCTCACATGCCCTGCATATATTTTATCGAGTGGCATTAAAGGTATAGTTCGGATTGAGGTATTTTATCAAAATTACAAAAGGGCCAGTTGAAACGAGTTATATATTTGTCCAAGGACTACTACACACAGGACATGCATAGCCTATGTCCAGCCTCTGCTAGCAGAGGCGATCGCCTACACTATGAATATGCTGGTGTTTTAGTGGCATCAACAAATGATATGCCCATAATTGTTTCATACAATAGTATTACAATGTGTGTAGTNCTGGTTACTGTGTTGAGTTACTGGTTACTGTGTTGAGTTACTGGTTACTGTGTTGAGTTACTGGTTACTGTGTTGAGTTACTGGTTACTGTGTTGAGTTACTGGTTACTGTGTTGAGTTACTGGTTACTGTGTTGAGTTACTGGTTACTGTGTTGAGTTACTGGTTACTGTGTTGAGTTACTGGTTACTGTGTTGAGTTACTGGTTACTGTGTTGAGTTACTGGTTACTGTGTTGAGTTACTGGTTACTGTGTTGAGTTACTGGTTACTGTGTTGAGTTACTGGTTACTGTGTTGAGTTACTGGTTACTGTGTTGAGTTACTGGTTACTGTGTTGAGTTACTGGTTACTGTGTTGAGTTACTGGTTACTGTGTTGAGTTACTGGTTACTGTGTTGAGTTACTGGTTACTGTGTTGAGTTACTGGTTACTGTGTTGAGTTACTGGTTACTGTGTTGAGTTACTGGTTACTGTGTTGAGTTACTGGTTACTGTGTTGAGTAACTGGTTACTGTGTTGAGAGACTGGTTACTGTGTTGAGTTGCTGGTTACTGTGTTGAGTTACTGGTTACTGTGTTGAGTTACTGCTTACTGCGTTGAGTTACTGCTTACTGTGTTCAGTTACTGGTTACTGTGTGGAGTTACTGGTTACTGCCTCTGGTAACTGGTTACTGTGTTGAGTTACTGGTTACTCCCTGGTAACTAGTTACTGCCTCTGGTAACTGGTTACTGTGTTGAGTTGTTGGTTACTCCCTGGTAACTGGTTACTGCCTCTCTGGTAACTGGTTACTGCCATCCTGGTAACTGGTTACTGCCTCTTTTGTAACTGGTTACTTCCTCTCTGGTAACTGGTAACTGCATTTCCGGTAACTGGTTACTTCCTCTCTGGTAACTGGTTACTGCCTCTCTGGTAACTGGTTACTGCCTCTCTGGTAACTGGTTACTGCCTCTCCGGTAACTGGTTACTTCCTCTCTGGTAACTGGTAACGGCCCTCCGTCTGTAACTATTCATTTTGCAATTTTCCTGGCAGTACAATAATCTGCCTCCATTTGGGCGTTTAGTCATGGTATTCGGAGAGGGGCAGTTTTGATACAAATGAGTATAGTTCAACGTTCTTTAATGGTAACGACTCGAATTAACGTTTACGTCATTGATCGTTTTTACAATTTGTCATGTCTCTGGTGGCGTGGTTGCAGGTGTCGTGTACCACGTGTCGGAGGGCGGGGCGTGTCTACCATTTTATTTATTTTAATCTTTGTACTGGTGGCTTTGGCAATTTCCACATGAAGGACTCCATCTTTCAAATATCAGTAACGGCAACCAAGCATTACTTTATTGAGCTCTTACTTAACTTGAGTGAAGAGTTTAGCGTTTTTTAGTTGTTTATTTATTTTAATCTTTGTGCTGGCTTAATTGTGTGGGCAATTGTGTACATGAAGGCCTCCATCGTGCAGGCTCCTGGGCGGGCGACAACGAGGGGGGCGCCATCCACGAGAACTTCGTCCTGGTCGTTGAAACCGACGCCATTACTGTGAGGGAGGAATGATTATCATCATGCTTCATTATAATTATCCTCATGTTTTATAATGATTATCATCATGCTTTATAATGATTATCATCATGCTTTATAATGATTATCATCTAAATTTACATAATTTATAATACAGTGCGTGACGAACTTTAATATGTGACTTGAAGATTGCCTGTCATGCCATGGAATGAGTCAAGAACTTTATTAAGAGTGCNGAGGCCTTCTTGAGGCCATCATGTGCCTCTGGTTCTGCCAGAGCAAAAGTGAGGTCTTCTTGAGGGCCTCATGTGCCTCTCGTTCTGCCAGAGCAAAAGTGAGGTCTTCACATTGATCAAGACACGCAGTGTATGAATTACGCAGTATACACGCATGTATTGAAACATGACTAGTAGCACTGGAATGAACAATAAAAAAGCCTTTAATTTATTTATTGCATGGCTGATAATTGGACGCTAACTTGACTGCATTCTACAACCTGGAAGGTTCTTTTCCCGTCATGTGGTTTTCTGGCGCGGGGCCAGGCTGGTCTCTAGTTATATCGGGTTCACATTTGCAAAGCATTGACCATGAAAATTAGTTTATATTTTTAGGAATTTTTATCCAAACTTAATATTCCTAACTAGAGGAGCTTCGGTCTTTTACAATCTGCTCGCAACACACAACCTAGCATCTTCTAGTCGTATAAAAGTCTGACTGCAATAAATAGTTTGTGAGCGACATCAATCGTTAGCCAGCAATGAACCTGAACAGTCATGTTGGAGCAATTGTTTTGTGCAGTCTTATTGCTCGCTTAATGGAGTCTGCAAGTCAGCTGCCTTGAGTCAAGTGCTCACGGTTTGGTGTAGCGCTTTCAGGGCAGTATTATAATTGCAATGCCAAGTTCTCGTTCATACCATTTCAATTTTCCTGATATAATTTTAACTGCAAATTGGTCATAGTAAACCTTTATTTCGCGGAAATTCTGTTTAAAAAAGCTTTCAATTACATATTTTCAAATGTGATCTACTCTCACTTTGATATTAAAGATGAAGCGAGATTCATGGTTAATACGAAGGCAATTAGATATGCAGCTTGTTGAGCTCAGGATGATTCAAGTTTCTTGAGTTATTTTTCCTAGGGGGATTGTTCCTGAGCGCCCCACCGCTGAGCTCGTGGTGTCTGACTGCAGGTCTCAGTTGTGGGGTTAAGTTATTATTTAGGTAGGATTCCTTTGAGCATGAATAATTTCTGTACTAGTAAAAATTGAGTCAATCACTCAAATGGAACATTTTACATTACCTGTGATATTTGAAAAATTCTGCACAGTGCACAATAATACAGATTGGCCTGATTGCTGGTCCCTTGGGCCTTGTGGCATTGTTACTGATGTGACAAACGAGAGAATTTCAGACCCCAGCTCATTTTTTAATTCCCTAATTGGCACTTCTGCAGCTTAGCCTAACAGGAAAATTGTGGCAGAAACACCCCTCAGGGGGGACTTTTGACGCGTGTCCGTGCGCGTCAGAAGTCCTATGGGATTTCGCGTTCCTAGGGGGATTGTTCCTGAGCACCCCACCGTTAAGCTCGCGGTGTCTGACTGTAGGTCTCAGTTGTGGGGTCAATTTATTATGTAGGTAGGTTTCCTTACATTTCCCTTCTCTGTCTCTCTCGTGCGGGCGGCCGACGTCCCGTGTAAGCAACCTCTTGTTCGAGTGTCTTTGTTTCTGTTGCTTTTCACCTGTCCCTCCTTGTTACTTCGTCTTTTTGAGATGCTAACGCTGTTTCCTTCGAGCCAGCTTCAGCGGGCTGGACATACGAGACCTTCCGCTCATTGTGGGTGATGAATAATTGAGACCTTCCACCTCTATGGTGATGTTCATCTTGACTTTCGGTGCGAGATAGCTAAATAGCTGAAGCGCTAGTAAATATTTGGCCACTAAACTAAACTAAACTTCTTGAGTTATTTTCTTTGAAGTTCGATTTCTCAAGTTCGGAAGTTCGGAGAAATTGTTTGATATGCTCTTTCCGTTGTATAAATGTAAGTTGAGATAATATAATAGTAATACTATTGAATGTTTTTAGTTGAGATGATGGCATGTTAATAATATTGCAGTTATTCCGTGCTGGGCAAGTTTCAGTTGAGAAAATGGCATGTTATTATTATTGCAGATATTCCGTGTTGTGTAAGCTTAAGTTGAGATAATAAAATATTAATAATATTGCAGATATCCTGTGTGCGGGCACGGGCAGCGGGCACCTCGCCATGTGGCGCTACGAGCAGCAGACGCGCCCTGCCGACGCTGCGCTGTACGCGCCCCACGACCCTGAGCTAGACTGGGCCCTCCAGCCCTGTACCCTGCTGGCCGGGCAGGTCAAGCAGGTCAGTGCAGGTCACTGGGCCCTGCAGCCCTGTACCCTGGTGATGCAGACAGGTTAAGCAGCATCACCAAATTTACTTCGTTTGTCCTTTAATGCAACAAGTCAGGTAATAACCAATTTAGGAGATAATTATATCACAAATTTAGGCTTAAGAGAAACCCTAATCTTTTACTCACACTGTTTTTCTGCTTCCATTTCCTTCTATTCTGCTCTCCAAATTTTCCTAGAAATTTTCTTTTTCTTCGCAG